CGCCCGCGGCTGGTTTGACCGCATTATTTTCGAAATACGTACGCCATGATCCGGTCGACCGCGCTAGAGCGATCAAAACATTATAACGACAAAATACGCATTCGTCAACGCCGAACCTGTATTCGGTTCCACTTAGAGTTTCTTGTGATAAAATAATCTCGACAGGTTTGTGTCATGTGCGCACGGATTAAAGTTTCATGAGGTGCATCCCGGGCGAGGGCGATTGCGCGAGGAGGGCACAGGGACGTCGGCGGGCGATCCATCACCTGTCCGCCTCTAGTGCTCTCCGGGGCGAGTCGTCAATCGTCAATGCATCTCGTTGATGTCTTTTACTTAACGCTTACTTTGGAAAGTGCTTAGAGATAAGTGCGGTGTTCGATGTTTATATAATTCTCAATCTGAATGTTAATAACGGCTCCGTGTTGTGTTATGTTTGTTTCACACGCGGCCAGTTATTTGTTTGTTTGTGTGAGTGATAAGGGGCCGCGGCGGACTATCAGCAGTAAAAGTTACAAGTGCTAAATTAATCGAGCAAAAGTGTTAACTTATTATCGGTCGAATCTGACTTTCTACGTAAGTTCACTTGTTGATGCATTTAAATTTTGTTAGCGTTTTGTCTCACTTTACAAATAATAGAATAGAACAAAAAGGACTTAAATCTAAAAACAATATTATGAATATAATTCGATGAACGGATGCAAATAACACAATTCATTACTTTTGTTGTTAACCTATAATTTATCGCCGAATGCGTATTATTAAGTTTTGATTGTGAAATTGACGAAAAGTATTGTTAGTGTTTTCGTTACAAGCACGTGACAATACGCGCGTAAATTAAGGCCGTACCTTGTCTTTGTGAAAATTTTGTGATACTCCGTGATGTAACCCATTGACCGATAGGGAAACCTGTCTATGCGCGAAATTCGGACTCGGTAGTTTTTCGTTTATAAGTAGATAAACTTGCGAAATTTGTTCAGATGTATTCCGATTGTCGAAGAGTGAGGAGCCAACAATAAAAAACAATACGAAGCTTTTTTACCCTCGACATATTTAGAGCGACTCCTACTTGATACATTACGACCTTCAAGGTAATTCGGAATTAACATTATATCGCGGCATACATATTTTTTTTATTTAACTTCTTTTATTCAATTAAATCTTCATCTTAAACTGAACATTATGCTATAAAAACACGAGACTACCTAGTATTTTAAATTCAATTTATGATAAATATTTTTTTAACAATTTATATTTATTCGCTTTTATTATAAACTATTTTGCAGTTTATACTAATACGTTAAAATATATTGTGTTTATTTAAACAATTGCAACGTCTATTTACAACTGACTGCTGTTATTACAAATTGTTTTATTGATATACAATTGTATTTCTTAAGTTATTCCTAATTTTTAAATACTTGTAATGTAATAACATTAATTTAGAAAATAATTTTAATTCTTAAAGCGAAACATCTTAATTTTTTTTATTTATTTCAAAGCAAATTATTATTTTATTTCTTTATGTTGATGTCTTTTTCGTCCAATTTTAATATTCATGTCCATTAATAGGGTGTGGGTCACTGAGTGCGCATAATACTCATTAACGTAAGCAACGGGCACGTTACAATGTGGACAAGTGACTTCATCAGAAGTGGCGAGATAAATTGACTGCCGGCTCCGACAATGTCGACCTTTGTTACTCGTGTCGCTATTAACAAATGTTACGTCCAGGAATTCAAGAACAATAACTGCACTTTTATCTTAATCTAACTTTCTTCCCATATGTAATTTTTTTCGGTAATAACTTCGAATGCATGTCTATGTAGTGTTTTGAAACGCAATCACATTTTCTGTACTTTATTACAATTTATTACGGACATTTTTTTTTCTACGGATTCGTGTAGATGAAAATTTAATCCCCATCTACCAAAGTAGTCATCGTTTCATCATTAAACTTTTCTTGTTTTGACGAATATAGATTTGACGTATATATTTTATTTGCAGGTGGGTCGAGGAGAATTATGCGTGGGGCGTGCGCGTGCGCGGTGGTGTGCGCACTGGTGGCGCTGTGCGCGGCGCTGGAGCCCGAGGCGCGCGCCGCCGCTGAGCGCCAGTTGCTCACCCTGCTCGGTCTGCCGCGACGGCCCGCGCGCATCCGCGCCGCACCGCCGCCCGTGCCGCGCGCAATGCGCCTGCTATACGAGGCGCAGGGCGCGCTGCCCGCGGCCGCTGCCAACACGGCCCGCTCCTTCCACCACACGCCCACCGAGCTCGATAGCCGTTTCCCCGCGGACCACCGCTTTCGACTTTATTTCAACGTGAGCGCCGTGCCCTCGGACGAGGTCGCACGCGGCGCCGAGCTCACCTTGCAGCGTGCGCACAACGTGACGGGCGCCCAACGGCTCCTGTTGTATGACATAGTTCGGCCGGGTCGTCGTGGCCGTTCCGACCCTATCCTGCGATTGCTCGACTCCGTGCCGCTGTGTGCCGGTGAAGGTGTGATAAAGGCCGATGCGCTGAGCGCGGCGCGCCGCTGGCTCTCTGAACCGCAGCACAATCATGGCTTACTAGTAAAAATCATAGACGAGGAAGCGAAAGGTGTCGCTGCGCGGAGTCCGCACGTGAGGGTGCGGAGACGAACGACGGAGGAGGATGAGCAGTGGCGTGCGCTGCAGCCGCTGCTACTGTTGTACACGGAGGACGCGCGAGCGCGTGCTGCCCGGGAGAGTGGCGAGTCGCGCCTCACTCGGAACAAGCGCGCGGCCGCGAGAAGAGGGCACCGCGCGCACCACAGGCGCAAGGAAGCCCGCGAGATATGCCAGAGGCGGCCGCTGTTCGTGGACTTCGCCGACGTGGGCTGGAGCGACTGGATCGTGGCCCCACACGGGTACGATGCGTACTACTGCCAAGGCGACTGCCCGTTCCCCTTGGCAGACCACCTCAACGGCACTAATCACGCGATAGTGCAGACTCTAGTGAACTCAGTGAACCCGGCGGCTGTGCCCAAAGCGTGTTGTGTGCCCACGCAACTGTCGCCAATATCTATGTTGTATATGGACGAAGTGAACAATGTGGTGCTTAAAAACTATCAAGACATGATGGTGGTGGGCTGCGGGTGCCGATGACGAAGGGCCGCCGCCCCTGCCCGACGCTCGGCGCCGGCGCCCGTCGCCCGGTGCACTCCTAGTGATATCTCGTGGACCCAGTGTAAATATAGTAGCGGCCTCGAAATCTGTACATACTCGTAGATTAACCTGTATATATATTTGTGTAATAATTATTTTATTGATGAGATGACGTTGATATAATAAAAGATATAATTTTCTACAGTAAATTCCATTGATTTTCTAGTGTAAAAATCGTCCCTTAGTACAGTGAATGTTCTGCCATATTTCTATAGAGTGTTTACGGAAACGATTCTTATATTTGTACTAGTCGTAAAGTATTATAAATGATAAACTTATATTGAAACGAGTTAGCTACTCGAGTAATACATAAAAACGATAATTTGTAGCCTAAAGACGTCGATACCGTACGTAAAAAGCCTAATGGCTTCCACGCATAATTCACGTTAACAGTATAAATTATTAATTTTATTTACTGCTCATCAAAATTTATTTATATTTGAGTAAAATATTGTGTAAAATACTAAGAGGAAATGTGTGAAGTTTCACAAAATATTGTATCAATACCATGATATCGAAATAGTGAAAAACATAATTTATAATTTGTTTAATAACCAGTCACAACAATAGTCATTCGAATCTCGTAGACCGCGGCCGTCAGGCACGCAGTCTCCTACTCGGGTTTTAAAGGTCAAGATTTTAGACTAAATACCTGGCCACGGCCGTCTACAGTTTATCATGGGCTGAGGTCGCGGCTAAACGATTCTATTGAATCGGTACAATGCTCTATAATTCATTGTTGTGACTTTTGTAATTCGTACTTTGAGCTCGGAGCTGTTCAAATTAGCTCCAATATAATTTTGTACTTTGTAAATTCATGTCATTAAGAACTGATCATAGCTGTATGTGTCTACGTTGATTTTTAAAATGTTCAAAGAGTAAAGAAAGTTTTTTATTGATGCATTTTGTATGTTTTTTCTTAACCGTCCGCAACCTGTAAAACGGAGTATAATAATATACGAAAAGTAAAATTGGAACCACAGTTTTATTTCATTGTCATAAATAAACCTTGTATCTACTTTTTTCAATGCTATCCATTTGTTTAAATTTGCGAAATTTTACATACCATGAACACTATATGAACATGCTATACACAAATCACATCGTTTTGTATTATCTTGATTTCGGTTAATTAAAAAAAAAAACAAATTGATGTTAAAAAAAAGAATTTATAGAAAATATTTGACCAGCATGCCTAATATTTATTGAAATTTTTAAATTATTTAGGAATGCATACCGAAATATCTAGGATTGAGGTAAACACATCTCGCTTCGCATTGAAATTATTAAATTTTAATTTCCGTCGACTATAATTCACAAATCATTTATTTTCTGACACTTGATTAATCAAAGAATACAATATTTCTGTTATGTTATCATGAAATGGTCATGCAATGCTCTACAAAATCCATAGCTAAAATATCGCTCGAGCTCTTATGAAGTCGTTCCACAAACAATGTCGGAGATAATATTCCGAGTGAATTCCATTTAGAGTGTGGCAGGTCTCCAAATCTCAAATATTTCGTCACAAGGCGACTATATATCATGTTTTTGCCGGGCCGGCCGGGCCGCAGGAATGGCCGCCGTATAATTTGGCCACCCGGCAACCGCGCGGCAGGCGCGGCCGGCGTCCTACGTCTATATTATCAGTAGATAAATTTAAGCTTTGTCTTTGCCTCGTATTTCGTCCTCTCGAGGTTTTGCTTTTGTTCTTTTTTTTCTCAATGTGGACGGCAACAAAAAACTGAGTCGAGAGGCGAGCGAAGTGGGTATAATTTATTTTATAGCCGGCTCGCTCGTAACTCGGCGGTGGACGGCTGGACGCCGATTTATCCCCATCTCGGTGTAATTAACGTAAATGGATTGGCCGAAGTCGGTGCCTGTGAGTGCGCCCGCCTGCGCCCTCGCGCCCTCTCAGAGCTTTACTTCGACCACACCCCGTAAGCTCTCACACAACTTATTTTTCAAAAACTCTACGCGAGTAAATCTACGATACCAAATGTCAATTAAACATCCATTATGCCAAACCGCAAAACTAATGAGATGTAGGAAAGAAAGTTGCTTGCGATTACGCCGAGTTCGCGAGGAGCGCAATTTATCCCTCGGGGAATTATAATTGTTTTGCATTCTTGCGCGGGTATAAAAACAAAAGGGCGAGGTATGGGCCCCCCGCGCTGCCGCCCTGCAGACCAGACCAAAGTCTGACGACTCGCATTCTCCGCAGACAAAAAGCTACGAATGAATCAGTATAGGCAGACCTTTGTCTTTCCTCGGTCACTACTCTCTCCGATATTTCACTCTGGTCAATTTACCTCGTACTTAATCTGAAACTAATTTTATTTAATGTGACTAAATCATTTTTTACACTGTAAAAATCACGAACAGGGTAAGTGGAACTTGTATAATTTTTCCAATTTTTTGTGCAGCTGTTGGAAATGAGGACATGGTACAAAGTGATAGTTTGAGATTTCCTATCACTTCATAAGCTATCAGTTGACACCGGCGTGTCACGTGGTGCATATAATGAAGTGTCACTCGCATATGTGTAGCACAAGGGGTGCGGGGGTGCGGGGAGCGCGGGCCGCGGCGGCCATCGACCGCGCCTCTCCTTACCAAATATTTCAAGCATGCACATATTAAACTGGTTCTTATTTCACTTAATATTACTTTATTACTTTTACATTAAACATTGTATCTTAAATAACGCAAGCACATTGCGTTATGATACTTAGAACTTAATTTTTGATTGCACATGTCGCCTCCTACTTACTAAGTTACGCCGAGAGTCCAAAGTTCGATTGTAAGTATTATAGTGCATTGCAAACAAGTCTTGGAATTTAAAGAAAAGTTTAAGGAAACTCAAAGGATTTTGGGCTTTATGCCAACTTTTCTGAGAAAAACGATTTTCTCTAGAAGCTGAGAAAATATTCTATTATACTGTTGGCATGGACTTGAAACGCCCAGGAATTTCTTATCACTAATTTTTGTTGAGTTCTAGCTGACAAACTCTTGCATTTGTTACCAATTTTGAGGTGGTTTTACAAAAAAAAATCATCCAACATATTGAGACGGCGGCCATTGTGGATTTTTCATTTCGTGCCGTATTCTGCTCGTCAAGTAATTTAATGCCTACGAGAAATTTCGACAGTGGTAGTGCCCGCTTTAACATCTTAGCACGAATGGGCCGGCACGCCCGGTGTAATACCACGACCACATAGAAGACAGGCGTGAAAT